TTTTGCACTTGAGTGCCTCCAAGGGCTCTTTAATGCAACTTCAGCAGCTCCATGCACATGACCAATAGTGCCAATCTGATTGGTGGAGAAGGTTTTGATGCAGTGCATCGAAACAAAAAAAGGAGCATGAGGCGATTTTAAAAAAATGACACTTTTACGCCTTATACATTTTTGAGTCTTATAAATTACTCTAAACATAGCACACACACGCGCAAGATCAGATTTGGATTGGTCCCAACTGGCCAATACCGATCCAGCAAAAATATTTGGTATTGAACCGATATCCGATCCAAGTATCAGGATTGGTGCATTCCTACCGGTTTGCATGGGCCTTAACTATAGTGGAGTGTAAAATGAGCCTATTTTCAAAGAAAGTGAAGTGTTCTTTAAGTGTTTATAAAAACTAGAAAAGTATATAACTGAAATAACACGGTTACTGATGTAAATCTAATAATGTGAAGTAAAAGATGTAGTTATCATGAAAATGTCCATCTATTTTGAATTCCACAATTCTTGAGCATACTTTTTTCCTGTATGAACTTATTCAAAAGTTGATTCGAACTTCTCTTCTCATCGTGTGCAGTTCAGTTTTGCTTGTGATCAGGAAGATGGTGACTGTGTGTGTGCGTGTATTACACTGTACCCTCTGTAGTCTCCTCATTAAAAAGGGCATGGCTGAATGAACACGTTCACCAGTTCAACCAGTATATTTCTATGAGGTCATCGCTGTGCTTTCATGGGAGTCCAGTATATTCCTGAAGTGCTTTTACTTGTCATTTCGATATTGAAAAAATGGCATTGCGATATTTTGTTTTCTGCAATATACATTGCGATATAAATATCATTACACAAGATGACTATTTGGAAAAAAAACATCATAGTTTTACACTGATTGTGATGATTTTGTTGGGGAGCACATCTCCGTAAAGTATACAAGATTATACAGAAGTACACAAAATAATATCATGTAAAGCACGGATGAAAACAATATAGCAGAGATAAACAGCACAATAGCTTTCGGTGGAGTCTAACAGTATTGAGATATAGAAATTTAATAATCACATGTAAAACAACAGGGTCTTCATTGTATAAATATATAAACCCAATTAATCACATCTAATAATCTAAAAATCTCTTTAGATCCTGCGAAAGGACTATTACAGATTTGCACATTGCACATTGTATGTTGAACAATATATCAATTCAGCATCGATATTGCAATGGGATAATTCACAAGACACATCGCAAGACATATGCAATGTTGAGTTTGTGTTATAATTTAGCATTTGCATGTGTTTTTGTTGCCTGTGATTGTATAATGATTTTAAAAGCATTCAGGTATAAGAAATTGTACCACTTTAACAACGATTCATTTTATAGAATTATTTAGATTTTTGTCATTCAGTTACTGTACTTGAACACTGTTAGACTCGGGAAATGATAAAACACTATGTTTTTGTTGTATCTTTTCTTGATTGTATTTATAGTTTGTTTTGCATAAAAATACTCCGAACACATGCACGTAGAGAAATGCACTGCAAATAGCACAGACCACAACGAAAATGTGTTGACGGACCACAAAATATAGATTGTTAATAATTAGATTTTATGGAGATGCAAATAGTAAACATCAATTCATCAATCACTGACTAAACACATGCATGAAAATACTCATGACACATGCAAATAAAGAAATGCACTGCAAATGGCACAGACCACAACAAAAGTGGGTCTGGGAAATTTATTGATTTGCTTATTAGATTTTATGGAGATACACTCCAACTGCAGAATCATGCCAATTGTTGTAACATTATAAATTCTTTCCAAACAGATATTACAGGAAGTCTTCTGTTGAAATTGTATTTATATCGCAATATATATAGCACACTTCAAAAAAAATTGCAATGCTAGATTTTTCCAATATCGTGCAACCCTATTTTGTACAGGCTTGTATTTTGTACAGGATGCACATTTGATTAGTCATTACTAAAGCCAAAAACAGGAACTAATCTATTTCAAATATCTTAAGGTCATAATATCAAGGTGCACATATTAGTACAAAATGTAAATGTAATGGAAAAATAATTAGCCATTTTAATAGAGGAAAAATCAACAGAACCAAAAATATATTATATGATATATATTATATGATATATGATATTGAGATATATATATATGTGTGTGTGTGTGTGTGTGTGTGTGTGTGTGTGTGTGTGTGTGTGTGTGTGTGTGTGTGTGTGTGTGTGTGTGTGTGTGTGTGTGTGTGTGTGTGTGTGTGTGTGTGTGTGTGTGTGTGTGTGTGTGTGTGTGTATAATTGCAGTCAAAATTATTCACCCTCCTGTGAATTTTATTTTATTTTATTTTTCAAATATTTCCCAAATTATGTTTAACAGCGCAATAAATTTTCTACAGTATTTTCTAGAATAGTTTTTTCTTATTATTTTTTTTTTTATTTTGGCTAGAATAAAAGCAGTTTTTTTTTTAATTTAAAAAAACATTTACTATTATTACACAATGGCTTGCTTAGTTACCCTAACTTGCCAAATGAATGTAGTTAAGCCTTAAATGTCCCTTTAAGTTGAATACTGGTATCTTAAAAAATATTTCGTCAAAATGTTATGTAATGTCATCATGGCAAAGCTAAAATAAATCAGTTATTACAAATGAGTTATTAAAACTTATGTAGAAATGCTTGTTAAACAGAAAATTGGGGAGTAAAATGTTCAGGGGGCTAATAATTTAGGAGGATTAATATTTCTGCCTTTAACTATATACAATTTTGTTAAAATTGTGTAGTTTGTAGTTTTGAAAATCCTTAAGATGTTAGTTGATTACACCCATGTTTTAATAAATGTAACTGTTTCATAGAACTGTTTAAATGTATCAAAATATAGAGTATATGTACAGTGGGGAATGAATATATATATATATATATATATATATATATATATATATATATATATATATATATATATATATATATATATATATAATTTTTTTTTTTTTTTTCAAAAAGGGGGTGTACTCATTTATGCTGTGCACTGTAATTTGTTACAGGATTGTTAATGCTGTTGTGTTCTGTGATATATTACTTGTATGGCTCTTGTGGGCAGATTGAGTCTCCTCACTCAGTGATTGGCTGATGTCCAGCTCTGTTGCTGTGATGTCACATCCATAGGGAGAGTGTGGGGTTTTTATGACTGGCTTGTTCAGAGATTTGGCTTCACCTGCTGGTTGTTTGCAGTGCTGCAAGATAATTTAACTTTTTTTCTTTTTATTTACATTCATGCTTTTTCACAATCTGAAGCATCATGTTCATTCAGAAAAGCTTGATATTACCAGCTTCCAGGTCTATTAATATATATATATATATATATATATATATATATATATAGAACGTGGGTGCCATTTTTTTTTTGATTTACTATTTTTCTCCTATTTATTCCGGTAAAGTTTATGTTGACGTATTTTAGTTTCTTTTTCTTTTCAGATTTTGAAATGTTTTTCTTAGGAGTTAGCTCTATTTTATTTGTTATTTTGGTTTTTTATGTATTTTGTATTTTTTATTTGTTATATATCTTTTTCTTGATTTAACCTTGGTTTTTTAAGTCATTAGCCATTCTGGTCGTGGAGACAATAGTTCTGTTTTCAGCCCCTGCATATCACCCATCACCAATTATTTATTTTTTCTTGCAGTCACTTCCCTAGACCAACTAAGATTGTAACATTTTCATATATGTTTATATTAATTTTTAGTCTACACAATGCCGTTTTTTAAATTTATTTTATTGTAATTATTTTTATTTAATTATTTAGTGGAATAATCCATATTTTCAATCACAATAAGTTAAAATATTAGTTATTCTGACCAAGTACAATTTTCTGGAAAAAAAAAATTTAAAAATATATATATATTTTTTTTGGTTGGAAAAAAAAAAAACAGAACAAAAATATTATAATAGAAGACTGTGACTATAATGTTTGAGGAATATCACCAGACTTTATAGAATAAAATAATATTAAAATACAAATTATTCAACACAAAATTAAAGAATACAGAGAAACTTTTTTCCTGGGCAATAAATCATTTTTCTTAATTATTATGTGACACTGACGACTGTAGTAAAGATACTGAAAAAGCTTTGGGTCACAGAAATAAATCACATTTTTAAGTGTGGAAAACTGGGAAACGGTTACTGAGAGAATTAAAATATATTTAGCCCCTTTAACTGTAATTGTTCATGCCAAGATTTGATCACAGATCTCTCTGAATACTTATTTATTATTTATGAATTTTTTATATATATATATATATATATATATATATATATATATATATATATATATATATATATATATATATATATATATATATAGGTGGCACTTATTTAATGTAATTTTTTTTTTTTTTTTTAATTGTTAAATACTTATTTGTTAATTATTTATTTAGTACTTTTATTCATTATTACTCCACAAGGATGTGATTCTAAAGATTAGAATAATGAAGATGAGAATTCATCTTTAAAATCACTGGACTAAATTATTAAATACAATTTTAAACTAATTTTGAACAATTATTTTTATTGTGCAATAACCTATCACAAATTTACAATTTGTACTGCATTTTTGATTTAATAAATGCAGCCCTGCATGGTGAGAAGGATAAGCTTATTTTAAAACATTTAAAAATCCTACTAACCCCAAACTTTTGACCATTAGTGTATATTCGCCTTTTATTCCCCATTGAGGTAAAATAATTAAAGTTATACAATAATTAATTTTAGAACTTATAGTTATAAAATAATAAAAGTTATTTTACTTGAAACAGTAGTCTGTGGTGTTATAAAAGTCAAAAATTCATATGGAAAAAAAAATTAATAACTGTTTATGCAAGAAACTGAAAATTATTTACATCATTATTTGTCCCTATTTCCCCTTTTGTAGAATAATGTCAATTTGTTAGCTTTTTAGTTTAAAATCCTCTTTTTCTTCCCTGCAGGAGCTTATAAAGCAGAGCGTTGGAGGAAAGGAGGAAAATAAAGACACAGACAATCTGGTGCAGGAGACTGACAGTCAATACGGCACGTGGGAGACTGGACTTCACACAGATGACAGGTGAAAACACACACACACACACACTTAAACCAAACACAAACTCATAAAAGATCCATTTTTGTCCTCGAACTAACATTGAGGCTGACCTGAATGTCTCCCAAATTGTCAAAGCCACTTTTTGTAACTCAACACCACGATCAATTGCATCTATCGAGTGGACCATCTGTAGCAAAGCTATAATGATCTGCTGGACTGACACACAGACACATTTATCTTCATTACAGGGGTTGTCAGAGAGCTTTGGTTACAGTAGTGACCAGTGCAAAAGGGATTCAGATGAAATCAGGGCTAATATATGCGGATCATTAGATTTCATGGGCTGTGTTTTGAGATGGGTGGACAATGTGTTGCAAAAGCGATGTAGCAGCCCAGGAACTGGTAACTTTATTAGTAACTGCACAGCACAATTATGCATGGTTTAAATCTAATTGTAGGAAAGACACTCATGTAGGGCAGCAAATCAAAGTACATGATGTACAAATTATCTGCTGTAAGTAGTTCAGATGTAACTAAATTTGCATAGAAGCTTTTCTTCCATGTTGTGACATTGCATCCAACCTTAACAGATTATTGATGAAGGAAAAAATATAGCGTGAGAATTGGTTGTTGATTGCAGAAGATTTTACAGAAAAGCAGAGTTGTATGTTACATGTTACAAATACAAATTATGGCTGTTTCTCAATTCCAAGATCGATTAAAAAACACATATTGAGAAACAGCCATTATAAGGCATACATACAATAAAAAGAGTATGTTTTCCTTCCGTACACATTTTAAACTGGTCACAATTTGAATTTGATTCTTTCTTAAACCAGATTGATGAAGCCTTTCTCACAGCCATCACAAACCAATTAAGTTAGCTTATTTTTTGTTCCCAAAATTAAAATGTCCCCACAAACATTTAAAAGATTGTGTTGTCGCAGCTCATTTTCAACCAATAGTTTGAACAAGCTGAAAAAACAGTTTGATTGCTCTCAATATACCTCCCAAAACAGAAGGGGTGAGGTAAAAGTGCCATAAAGTCCTCAGTCTTAGATTTTACAGGACCACACTACAAATAAAGGGGTATGAGAAATTTCCGTGAATGTACCAGCTACAGCAATAACAGGGCAGCAAAAGCAAGCAAGGAGATCAAAAACATGTCATTATTTTCTACAAACACACATGGTGTTAATGTGTAACGGGCATTACCATCATATATATATATATATATATATATATATATATATATCAGGGGTGAAGCCGAATCAACAATTACACACACACACACACACACACACACACACACACACATATATACATATATACATATATATATATATATATATATATATATATATATATATATATATATATATATATATATATATATATATATATATATATATATATATTTGTTCGAAATAAGTATTTATAAAAGACACGATATTTGTGCATGTTCGAATACCAAATTCAGGTTCGGCTCCACCCCTAATATAAATATATACAGAGCAAGGAATTTTTTACAGTAAGTCTAATAATATTTTTCTCCTGTAGAAAGTCTTTGGTTTTATTTCGGCTAGAATAAAAGCAGTTTTTAATTCTTCATAAACATTTTTGGTCAAAATTATTAGCCCTTTAAGCTATATTTTTTTCAATAGTCTATAAAACAAACCATTGTTATACAATAACTTGCCTAATTACCCTAACCTGCCTAGTTAGCCTAACCTAGTTAAGCCTTTAAATGTTACTTTAAGCTGTATAGAAGTGTCTTGAAAAATAGCTTGTAAAATATTATTTACTTTCATCATGATGAAAGAAATCAGTTATTAGAAATGAGTTATCAAAGCTATTATGATTAGAAATGTGTTAAAAAATCTTTCCGTTTAACAGAAATAGGGGGAAAAAAACAGAGGGGGCTAATAATTATACCTTCAGGTATATCATCAGTTACCAATATCAATCAGAATTTAGCAATTCAAACTATATATATATATATATATAGTTTGAATTGCTAAATTCTGATCGATATTGGTACTTGATGACTTGACAGAATAGGCCAATCTGTCTGTAAAGTCTGGTGGCAGTGAATTAGCTTTTTAAAGCATGTCCTGAATAACATAATGAATATAAGTACTGTATAAACACAGTCACAGTTTCCTCTTGCAACATGATTCACAATTTCTAACATAAAACATTGTTTTGTCTCCATTTACTGCACATATTAAACACTGACAAGATGTAACTATGTTCTTCTCTTTTCTTCAGCCTCACTCCAGCTACACCTTCATCAGAAGGGAACCTCACTCCTTCTCCACGAAAGTCCACTCCACCACACACGGCTGACCAACCCCTTCTCATCGACACTCCAGATGGCTCAACCACATCACCTCAAAAGCAGACAGAGCTTCTGTTCCCTGAGGTCAGTTCTTACTCATGTAATGATTAATAGTGGGTGTTTAATTCACTTATCATGCAAACAAATAAATTAATTAAGGCATCATACAATAAAACCATGTCATGACACAACAGATTTCATTTATGCTTTTTAAATATAACCTTGATCAAAACACATCAGACATTTAGTTCCTCCGAAGATGTTCTTTAGAAGTGAAACCTTGTCAAACTGACATTTCCTTTCAATGTATAAGTACAAATACTGTAATTTATGTTTCAATAATTGCTAAATACAAAAGATTCTATACATGATATTTGTCTGTTTTTCTCTGTAGACCTCCACAGCATTGTTAGACACCAGTGTGCTGCGTGGCAGGGTCAGACTGAACCAGAAGAGCACTCGCAGAGCTCCACCATCTCGAGCCGCCCGTCACAGTGCCCTCCTAACACAAGTACCAGAGGGACCCAGAGACGATGAATGGCGCTTCAGGGACTCAACAGGTACTTACTACAACTTCATCTTTGCATTGAGATTCTTGTCTTTATGTGCTTTACACATAGCAAGTGTTTTTAAGCCACCAATAAACTTGATGATGTCACTATTCTCAATTTTATATGTGTTAGCATTAATAACACAATTCAGGGGCAAAGCAGTGGGGGCGAAGCAGTGGCGCAGTAGGTAGTGCTGTCGCATCACAGCAAGAAGGTCGCTGGTTCGAACCTCGGCTCAGTTGGCGTTTTTGTGTGTAGTTTGCATGTTCTCCCTGCGTTCGCGTGGGTTTCCTCTGCGTTTCCCCCACAGTCCAAAGACATGCGGTACAGGTGAATTGGGTAGGCTAAATTGTCCGTTATGTATGTGTATGTGTGTATGAATGGATGTTTCCCAGAGATGGGTTGCAGCTGGAAGGGCATCCGCTGCGTAAAAACGAGCTGGATAAGTTGGCGGTTCATTCCGCTGTGGCGACCCCGGATTAAAAAAGGGACTAAGATAATGAACGAATGAATGAACACAATTCAACTGAATTATAGTTCAATAAATATACTTAAGCCTCATTCACAATACTAGCGACTAGCGACAGTTCATTTTAACGGAGAGCGAGCAACTTCCGGCAACCTCCGTCTACGCGAGCGACATCGACCATTGGCGACCAAGTGGGCATGTCGAGCGACCTGACAAAGTTGAGAATCCTTCAACTTTATGCAAATGAAGAACAACTTTCTTGAGCAGCAGCCAGTAGGAGCACCAGTAGAAGTTGAGCTAGTGGTGTAACGGATCACATATCTCACGTTCGGATCACGTTATGGTTTTTTAGTCACGGATCGAACCATTTTTCTGATCAGCCAAAAGGGGAGGAAACACAAGTAATTTGCTTTCCATTTATTACAAAAACAGTACTGCAAGACACTTTTGGTTTTAACAAACAGAACTTAGAAGCTGTAATTTATAAAAAATAAAATGAATTAATAAGCTGAACAGAAAAAAAAATGGCAAAGTATTCAGTACTGTGAAAAATTCACTGTTACTACTTCTGTTAATGCTAGTAATGCTAAATGTATAAATCTAACATTATAATTTGTCCAACCCATATTTATTTTTAGTCTCATTTTTGATAAATGATTCATTCATACATTTTCTTGTCGGCTTAGTCCCTTTATTAATCCGGGACAATTTAGCCTACCCAATCCACCTGTACCGCATGTATTTGGACTGTGGGGGAAACCGGAGCACCCGGAGGAAACCCATGCGAAGGCAGGGAGAACATGCAGACTCCACACAGAAACACCAACTGAGCCGAGGTTTGAACCAGCGACCTTCTTTCTGTAAGGCGACAGCATTACCTTCTGCGCCACTGCCTCGCCATAAGTAAATCAGTTATTACTTAATAACACGTATAAACTTTCTTTGCTGGATGGATAAGTTTTGAAGAATTATTCAGTGGCATATTTTTGATGGCTGTTTGTTAATATCTATTGGTTAAATAATGTATTTGCTGCATATAACTTTAATTATAAAAGTTGTTAAATGCATATGACAGTGATTTTAATCTTTACCATAGACATCAGTGGTTTTATCTAAACTATTAACTAAACTATAAACTATGTAAACTATTATCTAAACTATAAACTGTTATCCCAGTACTTCAGTGTTTTGTGACTGTTTGTAACTTTATAACTCATAAGACTAAAGACTGAATCTCTTTCTTGATTTTTGCATTTTTTCAAACACAGATTTGAATGCAGTGATTCGAATGATTAATAAACATATGCAAAGCATCATCATTTATAATTTATGTTGCGTGGGTGTTGAGATCCCGATCTTTTAATGATTAGTCTACACTGAATGTATTAAGGCAGGCTAAACAAGTAGTAACAGAAAACACCTCTAATGAAACACTATTGGTTGTGTTTTTAAAAGGGGAAGAGCTACTCTGTCTCTCCCTCTCTTTCAGATTTAAGATTTCATCAAACATTAAATAAAAAATGCACATTTCAAAACACTTCTCAGGGCTTTTAAGTCAAGACGCATGGCATGAGATCCACTTTAAAACATATCTCATTTAGACATTAAAGACCACTGCTTTTAAACAAACAAGATCAAACGCGGCGATATAGCCTATTGTCTCTGTATTGCGGGGAAGTCAATGAATTCTAGTCTTCAACACTCACTTTAGTCTGTCTGTCTGTCTGCAGAGGAGAAAGCTGACTCTTTTAAGGAGGCGGAAGAGTCGGATTCTGAGGAGCAGGCCAAGGGAATCGAGACCCGCACTTCCTCCATGTCTCAGCCTCAGAGAGTGGCTCTTTTCCCTGGCATGGACCCGTCTGCTTTAAAGGTGAGGGTACTATGGGTACTCTTCTTTCAGTTGCTTTTTAACCCTGCAAAGCATGATATGTGAAAAAGAAGATCATATAAAATATTGAAAAACAAAAAACTAAATTATTATTATTGTATTATTAAATTTACTAAATTTTTATCATTTTTTGATAGGGCAAGTAAAAATCGATCCCACTTTATATTAAGTGTCCTTAACTACTATGTACTTACATCAAAAAAAAAAATAAATACAATGTACTTACTGTGTTTATAATGTATTTGAGAACACTTGTGGTGCTTTTGGGTTGGAATAGAGGTTGGGTTATGGACAGTGGTATGGGTAGGTTTAAGGGTGGGTTAAGGTGTAAGGGATGGTCAACAGTGTATTTACAAATGTAATTACAAAAGTTAATTACAGATGTAGTTACATGTATTTAATCAAGCATAAGTACACTGTAAATACATGTATTTACACAATAAGTACATTGTAACAAACTATTCATTCCTGTGTAAGAACATAGTTAAGGCCACTTAATATAAAGTGGGACCTAAAAATATTTTCTAACTGGAATATTTGGAAAGAATCCTTAGCATTTAGCCCTGTATAAGTCTAAAATTCCATTCATAATGGTCTTAAAATGTCTTAAGTCTTAAATTTAACTTGATTAAAATCTGCAGAAACCCTGCACAAACAATACATGCGAATAAGTCCAAAGACATGCAATTGTGTACATTTTTAAACTTGTTTGTTTGCAAAGTTCACCATCTCACAAACTTAGCTAACAAATTTACAAACTTTTTCGTGAGAATTTTTTTTTTTCTGTCTATTCATTAGCGAGCTGCTAAAATTTCGTACCATTGTGTGCTGGAGACGACCTAACAAAACATGATTCCTAATAACTGTTGTTTTTGGCCTTAAATGCTAGAACTGAAAGCTTGTTTTAAAGATGCTGATGATTTTGCTGCTTCTTTCACCTTCGTTTGTTCTCTTCAGGCTCAGCTAAAGAAAAGAGGAGATTCAGACAATCAGACAGACGGCCCTTCCCCTTCTCAGCTCTCACGCTCACCCAAATCTCCATTCTTGCCTCGAGCTGCTCCTCGTGTGCTGCCTCCTGCTGGTGGCAAGGAGAACGGGTGAGTGCTCAGGCTACAATAGAGTATATGCCGAAGTATGCTAATAGGACTTTTAATTTGCCAGTAACCTGGGTTAAGCACTTCTAGTGAACTGTATGCCAATGCAAAACCGGGGCATTTAAGGTCTGTTTTCTTTAAAAATCAGCGATCTCTCTCTCTTTATAATATGAGCATTTATTTTACCCCAGTATATTCAATGGAGCTTCTGCGCTAGCCTGCCGATTCTGATGGCACGTGCGAGTAAATGGCTTTTTGTCTCGTTTTACGATTAAGCAACTAAATGAATAGCAAAGTCTATTTAACTGAATGTATTTTAATTGCTTTACAACAGGGGTTTTCAAAGTGTGAGGCGCGCCTCCCCTGGGGGGCGCCAGAGCATGTCAGGGGAGGCGCGGGAAGAAATATAATACTATAAAAATATAATTATTAAGTTTAATTATTATATGTATTTTTTATTATATTTAAACGTTTTAATTAAATAAAGCAAAAAATAATAATAATAATACGTCAAATATAAGAAAACCTTTTTTACCCAGAAGGCCATAGCTGTGAATTTGCTTCTGTTTGGCAAGCCCGCCAATACAGGTATATGCCTGCTAATACAATGGGTCGGTTTCTGAGACCCCCCGATTCAAAGCTGTAATGAAGTTCACAGCCCTTTGGCCGCCGGGAAGAAGGAGGCGGAGAACCGACGCAGTTTTAAAATGATTTATTAATAACAGTGACGGCAGCTCCTCACGGAGGTTGCCGTCAAACTGAAAGCAAAAGTAAAATATGTCCGGCCCGGTCCTCTCTCGGCTTCCTCTGCCCTTGTTACTCCTTTTATGATCCAGAGCTCCTTCCGTGGGATCCGAGGCAGGTGCGCACCGCAGATCCACTTACGCGGTGGCCTCACTCCGTTCCCACGGCTCTCGGCCACGCCCCCTCGCCACAAAAGCCTTCAAGTTCAGGGCTTAAACCCAAAAGACGACGATATGATGATCAGTATTTGAGTTTAGGATTTACGTGGACAGGACCAGCTGATGAACCACGACCTTTATGTGTGGTTTGTCAAAATATTTTGGCTAATGACAGCATGAGACCCGCTAAACTTTGACTGTTTTGACTAGTATGGACAGTTCTTGGATCTGCTCTATTCATATTGAACCATCATCCTAGTTTTAAAAACGTTATATTAAAATACTTGTTATTACTCTAAATAATTGCACTTTCATGCAAATGATGATAAAAGTGAGTTAACAGTCCGACATCTGTCTGTGTCTTTATATATACTGTATATATATATATGTATATATATATATATATATATATATATATATATATGTGTGTGTGTGTGTGTGTGTGTGTGTGTGTGTGTGTGTGTGTGTGTGTGTGTGTGTGTGTGTGTGTGTGTGTGCGTGTGTGTGTGTGTGTGTGTGTTTGGGAGGAGGGGGGGCGCCAATGGATAAGTTGTGTCAAAAGGGAGGCCCACTGTCTTAGACTTTGAAAAACCCTGCTTTACAACATTGATGCTGTAAAAGGAGACGTATAAAATGGAAAAAAACTCACATTAACAGGTCACTGGAAGTTTATCAGTATGGCAAGAACACTAGCTCGGCATATACCCTATTCTGTGATATTTATTTATTTTTTTTAAAACACATTTTTTTTACCCTCTCTCTCTCTTTGTTCCGTCTCAGAGAAGAGTCTTCTCCTCAGTGGCTGAAAGAACTAAAGACTAAAAAACGCCTGAGTCAGTATGAACCCGACAGTACAGCCTGAACAAGCAGGTAAAGGGGCTCACGTGTCTATTCGTTCATTCATTCATTTTCTTTTCGGCTTAGTTAATCTTTAATTAATAAGAGGTTGATAAAGGTATTAATTAGGTGTAATCCTTTTATTAATCAGAGGTCGCCACAGCGGAATGAACCACCAACTTATCCAGCACATGTTTTATGCTTCGAATGCCCTTCCAACTGTAACCCATCACTGGGAAGCACCCACACACACTCATTCACACACTTCTTGCTGTGAGTTGACATCGCTACCCACTGCGCCACTGCACCACTGTGCATTATTACATTAGATGTAAACTTGTCATAACACTGATGTTTATATAGATGATGGCGATAGCAGCCTTTTCCCACAAGTTTTGATACCATTAAGATTACCTTTTAACAAATTATTTAATGTTACATATTTGCATACACGCAAATTAAAATAAAACAATACTATGATGCCTAACGTATTTGTTTTGTTTAAAGTTTTTATGTTCTTGTTTTATTTATGTTTATTTATTATTATTATTTTTTTTTTTTTTTACAAGCTAGGCATAAGTGTAGTTTAAATATAATTATAATATACACTCACCTGCCACTTTATTAGGTACACCGTACTAGTTCCGGGTTGGACCCCATTTTGTCTTCAGAACTGCCTTAATCCTTCGTGGCATGGATTCAGTAAGGTACTGAAAATATTGGAGGCCATTTGAGTACAGTGAACTCATTTTCATTTTCAAGAAAACAGTCTGAGATGATTCGCCCTTTATGACATGGCACGTAGCCATGACATTGACACGATGCTTAATTGGTACTAATGGGCCCAAAGAATGCTAAAAATATCCCCCGCACCATTACACCATCACCATCAGCATAGACCGCTGATACAAGGCAGAATGGAACCATGCTTTCCTATTGTTGATGCCTAATTCTGACCCTAACATTCTGAATGATGCAACAGAAATCGAGACTCATTAGACTAGGCAACATTTCCAATCTTCTATTGTCCAATTTTGGTGAGCCTGTGTGAATTGTAGCCTCAGGCCCCGTTTACACTAGTGCGTTTTAGTTTTAAAACGGCGTTTTAGAATGAAAACGATCCGCGTCCACACTCGCGTTTTACCCAGCGTTTCTGAACAGCTCTCCGTCCACACCAAAACGCTAAAAACGCACATCACGTGACCACACAGACACTCTCGAGCAAGCGCTGCAGCCTATCTACCCAGATGAGAGCTGTGCTAGTCTGACTTCTCATCAAGCATCTCCCGCTGGATCTATTCTCACTATATTTATTAAACGGGATATTTCATTCATCTTGTTGTCTTTATCTAACGACATATTCCCTGACTTTGGTCATTGGAATCTATTAATTTTTCTCAGGTAACATGTTTTGGCTGAGCGCAAAGATAAGTTAATGATTAATGTAACCACGTAGCCTATTCTGTATATTGACTGATCGCTTGCCTTTATTTACTATAATGTATAAACTTATTGTATGTTATACTTTTATAATGGCCATTATCGATTATTAAAACTGATATTCAGCAAAAGAAAGGGTGTGTTTCGTATTTTCACTGAAATTGAAAGGAGGCAGTTGTTATCGGCTCCGTTTTGTTATAAATATCCACACAGTGAAGATGACGCTCATAAATGCAGCACGGCACCTCAACATTTCCGCTGTCTGTTTAGTTGTTAATATTAAAATGAAAATAGGCAGTTCCTTATATCATGTTTACATTTTATTGTTGAGAAAGTGAAACAACGTAGCCAGGGTGATGTGAATAAAGTTATAAAGTACATTGTTCCCTTTGAAGATTTACCCGTGTCCTCCATATAGTCTGTTTTCCATATCAAACTGAGAAGAAGAGACTGCAGCCTTGATCAAACTTGCGAAGTCTGAACTTACACGGAGAAGATGCAGGACTGAACTGTGTTTGTTAGGCTACTTAATATTCAGGAAAAGCCCCAATCAGAGAGGCGAATGTCTGCAGCCCCGCCTCCGTTTTCAGATGTCTCCGTTTTCCATCATCCACACTGAGACGGAGCAGCAGCGTTTCAGAATAAAAACAGCCTCTCCGTTTTCGAAACGCTCCGTTTTTGGCGCTCGAGAACTCCGGCGTAGTGTAGACGGTTGGCGTAACCGTTGCAAAACTTATGCGTTTTCAAACTAAAACGCATTAGTGTAAACGGGGCCTCAGTTTCCAGTTCTTAGCTGACAGGAGTGGCACCCGGTGTGGTCTTATGCTGCTGTAGCCCATCTGTCTCATTGTTTCTCGTGTTGTGCATTCAGAGATGCTCTTCTGCAGACCTTGGATGTAATGAGTACTTATTTGAGTTACTGTTGCCTTTCTATCAGCTCAAACCAGTCTAGCCATTCTCCGCTGACCTCTGGTGTCAACAAGGCATTTGCACCCACAGAACTGCCGCTCACTGAATATTTTTTCTTTCCCAGACCATTCGCTGTAAACCCGAGTGATGGTTGTGCTTGAAAACCCCAGTAGATCAACAGTCTCTGAAATACTTAGACCAGTCTGTTTAGCACCAACAACGATGCCATGTTCAAAGTCACTTAAATCACCTTTCTTTCCCATTGTGATGTGCTGCAGCAGATCTTCCTGACCTTGTCTACATGGCTAAATGCATTGAGTTGCTGCTATGTGATTGACTGATTAAATATTTGCTTTAATGAGCAGTTAAACAGATGTATCTAATAAAGTGTTTGGTTGGTGTATTTCAGGCTTTTGTAAACCTTGCTTTGCCTTTAGATCTCTAAAAATAATTTTTTAATCACTAAAAAAATCTTTAAAAATTCACTGCTTATTAACAGCAACTGTTAGGGTTGCTAGGTGACAAGATCTGCCCTCTGTAGATCGTATTATTTCTAAATGCTCAATTCGGCTAGTGTGGACTTTGAAGGTCTCACCTTTGAAGCCTCTGAAATGAGACACAGCTAGTCTGCTAATGAGCTGATGATCTGAATCAGGTGTGTTTGGTTAAGGAGATGTAGAAATGTGTCGAACTGGTTGTTCTTCAGGAACGTGGTTGAGAAACACTGACCTAGTCAGTAAATTTAATGCAAGATATTTGATTCAGGTGAAAGATGGCTTAATGGTTAGCTCTGTCGACTCACAGCAAGAATATTGCTGGTTTGAGTCACGGCTGGGCCAATTGGCGTTTCTGTGTGGAGTTTACATGTTTTATTATATCATAATAAAGATAATCTGTGTGGAGTTTGCATGTTCTCCCTGTGTTGGTGTGGATTTTCTCAGGATGCCCTGGTTTCCCCCACAGTCTAAAGACATGTGCTATAAGTAGGGCCAGACGGAATCTGCGGACGTTTTTTGCTATTTCTGCGGAGAATTTTGGTAAAAATCTGCGAATTTCTGAGGAATGACTTTGGGAGTATCCAGCGGAGTATCATAACCAAAAACTTAATATATTAAATAAAAAGTAATAAATTACTGAACAAAAACTGAATAAATTTAGATTTACACATTTACTCAAGTAAATAAACAGAATTAATAATGGGCTAAAAATCTGCAGAAATCTGCGGAATTCTGCGGAAAATCTGCAGAATCCTGCACGCGCAGATTCCGCGTGGGCCTAGCTATAAGTGAATCAAATAAACTAAACCCCCATGATTTTATAGTTTACAATGTTAAATTGCAAAGAAATAAACTGTAAGTAATTCAATGTCCCGCTACATTGTTATTCGTCATTTCATAAACACGCAACCACAATTTGTTATATCATTATAAAGATAATCTGTGTGGAGTTTGCATGTTCTCCCTGTGTTGGTGTGGGTTTCCTCCGGGTGCTCTGGTTTCCCCCACAGTCTAAAGACATGTGCTATAAGTGAATCAAATAAACTAAATTGTAGTGGATGTGTGTAAATGTGAGAGTGTATGGGTGTTTCCATGTACTGGGTATCTGCTGTGTATAACATACTCTGGATAAGTTGTTGGTTTATTCCGCTGTGGCAACCCCTGATATACGTAAGGGGCTAATCCGAAGGAAAATAAATAAATATGGATTCAAATTCAGAACATAGTCCTCCATTTTGTATCCACCTCACTTTTAAAATCAAAATAACAGTACACCCTTGCCCAGGGGTGGGCAGTCTCGGTCCTGGAGGGCCAGTGTCCTGCACAGTTTAGCTCCAACCCTATTCAAACAGACCTCCCTATAGAGTTTAAGTGATCTTCAAGACACTGATTAGTTTGTTCAGGTGTGTTTGACTAGTGTTGGAATAAACTCTGCAGGGACACCGGCCCTCGAGGATCAAGTTTGCCCATCCCTGCCCTTGCCCATACCAAACTATACTTTGCTGTATTACTGTGTAAGCCATAAGTACAATGCCCATCAATTGAATGTATCGCTAATGCACTTTCAGCACATTTCTAACCCAACCTATGTACGTTTCTCTCCATCATCTCAGGATGCCTTATAACTGCAGTATCTGTAGCTATAACTCATGACAGAAGCCTTAACCTTTGACCTGGAGTTGACCGGAATTCTGCTGCTGACGACTACGACATCTTTCCGTTTCGTTGTTCATTTTTCTGGCCTTCTCCTCCAGTCGTGTACATGTGCATGGTGCCTTTCTGAGTGGACGTTAATGGCGAAGCGTGAAGCGCGTGTCCATGTATGTGTCGTCCGCTTTCTCTTAAGCTCTTCTTCACACCAGAGAAAATTATTTTTGCATAGAGACACTTTAACCTCTAGAGAGCGAGAGATCATCCTTTATTGTGGAAACATGGGACCACGCTCACCAACAAGCAACCCGAAGTGCTTCATGTAACTGGAGTATGACGTTGGTTATTTTTACCTAATTATGTTCATATTAGTCGCTTCCTTTGTTTTGTTTGTTTTCATTCAGATGGGTTATAGGCATCAGTTGCACTTGCGTTCCCATAGATGATTTTTAACAGTCCACAAATCAACGCTGAGCTCGTGTGTATAGAAAGTGTATTTAGTTACGACAAATGTTTAAAAGTGTAATCGAATCGTTATATTTGTAATAATGTCGGTTTGAAAGAAGACAATTGTAAATGTTTAATGATGATCAAACAAATGAAACGCTTCAGAGGTGTGTGTTGAAAGTTGTTTGGATGGATTGGTGAATGAATGATTGAATTATTTTATTGTTCGTCTTATAACGCATACATTTTATTTAGATTTGGGATGTTTGGACATGAAAAGGTTTGTTTGATGACGGAAAATGTATTGTTTGTTTAGACGATTCCATCCCGTTGTCAGTTGAAACTATAATTTCATGTTTGGAAAATTGCGCATGTACAATCAGTCGTTCCCTATTCCACTTGTATCCCAATACTTGCTTTAACAACGGGCCAAAAATGAGAATTGCACAATCAGCATATAAATCATCCCTGACTATGTAATAATGGACGAATACAAAGGGAAAATTTTTCAGTTTTGGTTACATGTGTCTTTGTGTTTACTAGTTAGTTTAAGGGAAATGTCAAAGTACTGTAAACATCGTTCACATTACATTGCACACTTAATATTGGCTTTTTTTAACGCTGGGCCGTTGTGCCACTCCCACCTAACAAGCACTTTTCACCTGAACAGCGGCTCTGACCATCAGTCACTTTTGTAACGCATGAGTCTTCACACTTGATGTCTATGTTGTGATTTTGGTTTGCTGACGGTATGTGAGTAACGTTCGTTTGCTTTTTTTTCTAATATCCGTTTCTTTGTCTGCCTACAGTTGTTATAGTCTAAGGGTAATTTGTCCTTTTTATTTTAAATTTGACTGTAAAGATGTTTATTGCACTGTTGTACTGCCAGTGTCCAATAATGTACATTCATAATAAAATGCTATACATATCTTGGTTTTCTTATTCTTCTTTTCATTCCTTTGCTTGTAAAAATAGCATGCAGTCAATAAAGCCAGTGGGATGAGCTGGTGTATTATAGTTTTTCTCTGTCGCTTTGGTGCGTTTCTCACAACACCATTTCTCAAAACAATTAGTACAAACTGCAAAACCTAGCTGATAACCTGCAAAAGCGCGTCACATGCTAAAAATAGATAGTTCATTCCTCAAAAGCAAGTATTGATGTCAATCAAAGTGTCAGTATCATCAAAATGAAAAGTCCTGCACTGCAAAAAAATGCTTTTCTTACCTAGATTTTTTGTCTTGTTTCTAGTCCAAATATCTAAAAGTTCTTAAATTAAGAAGAATTTTCAAGACAAGCTAAACATATTGTCTTGTTTAAAGAAATAATATGCCAATAATAAGTGAGTTTTTCCTTAAAACAAGCAAAATAGTCTGCCAATGGGGTAAGCAAAATAATCTTACATCAAAAAAAAAAAAAAACAAGATTATTTTGCTTACCCCATTGGCAGACTATTTTGCTTGTTTTAAGGAAAAACTTAATATTGGCATATTATTTCTCAAAACAAGACAATATGGTTTGCTTGTCTAGAAAATGCTTCTTGAAATAAGAAATGTTAGATATTTATACAAGAAACAAGACAAAAAATCTAAGCAAGAAAAGCATTTTTTTGCAGAGTGACAGCATTGTTTATAAACAAGATAGTCAAATGTCTTTTCATGTTTTCATTATGACAGTTTACTCTGGACATTTTTTCAATGCAAAACAGTCAGATTTTGGTGACACTTTCTAAAAATGCTCAAGACAGCACTATAGACTATTTGCACAGCCATTTGAAAACTACAGTAAAGTTAAACATCACTGCCTTGAGTGAGTTATCATGAGTACAAGACACTGAATATGTATGTTTCACATTTTTATTGCATTTGCTCATTACAATCCTAATTTATTCCCAGCATTGTGCAAAAGAATAAACACACCCTTATTTACAACAAACATAGACTCTCTTTAGGTAGTGCAGTGCACAACTGTACACAATATTGCAGTACATATTGGAACTGAACCTACAACATACACAGGTCTGTAAATCATTCATCAAATTGTTCAATTTTTAAGACTTTTCCAGGAAAATAAAGATTTAAATTTGTTTTATAAAATTTGCTTGATACATTTTGATAACTAGTTCAACATTTTTGTATGTAAAGACTCAAGTAATGAAATGAGGACTGTTAGTTTTATATGGAATGACTATTCAGCATTTACAAGTTTAGTTAATTTTGACTGACATGACAGAAGCAAATGATAATGTTATAAACAGCAGAAAATTGTATGAAAGCAATTGATGCATGTCCGAAAGCATTTGCAATTTGTTGAAAAGAATGAGAAACTGCTGCTAGGATGTGCACAAATGACTAATTGTTATGAGAAATGCATGAACTGTTGTGCAAATGTAAATAGTGTTGTGAGAAATGCACCAAAGCGACTGAGATAAACTGTAAGAAGATTTTCTGCAGACAGCAGCTTTAACCACACAGAGCTTTTCAGTCTCGGAATGGTTAAAGATGCAGTATTGACAATGATGGGAGAAGCCATGCTTATGATAGCTCTAACTGAATCAGCTAAATCAAATGTATACAGAATCTTCCCAAAATGATTCAGTTTTGATGTGTGTGAAAACACCACACACATTTGACGTCTTTTGGTAACAAAATATTGATCAACCTTTGGTTGTGTTTAAAGGGGTCATGAACCTCCTCTCTTTCAGTTCAAGAATGTTTTCAAAACTGCTTCATGATGGGCGTGGATCGCTGCGAGCAGAGGAATGAGTGGGTGTGGCCTGCAGAGCAGGGGAAAAAGGGAAGCGAACAACTGTTGTCAGTTGGCTCACAAAATAACACACAAACTGTGAGGAGACCCGTGATTTTTTAGTTTACAATGTTAAAATGCATAGAAATGAACAGTAAGTAATTTAATGTCCTGCTACATTGTTATTTGTAATTTCATAAGCACGCAACCACAATTTGTTTTATCATTATAAAGATAATCATGTTTATATAAACACTAAACGATGGGGTCTTTTCTTCTTCTGAAACCCTGGGTCTAAATGCAGACACAGTGGAGCAGTGCAGCAGGTCTCTTGCTCTATCTATTTTAACCATTAGCTCTGCCGAGAATTTTAAACATAGGCAAACACAGCAGCACGGATAGGCGATGTGTCTGAATGGTAGCAAACTCAACTAATAAAAGACAGTCCGCCATTCTCTAATTCTCATGCAGCTCTCCCAGAAAATACTTGCTACAAAACAACAGCTGTGCTGTATTGGTGGCCCTGACAGCATCGTGGGGAAAAACATGCAACAAACCCCGTGGATGGTGGAAACAAACATAAGAAAACTCAGCTCAGCAAACATAAGAAAACTCAGCAAATGGATAAGAAAACTCAGCTGTGAATAATAATAAGAATCCGACACGTCATCACTGGGCAGGCAGACTGGTGCTACATCACCGATTTTGATCCCGCCCCAAAAATCATTATAAATCCAGAATATGAAATTAGCTGACAAAAGCTCAAAGTGATCCAGTTTTGCCTACAATTTGCTTACAGTTTTCCCTACAATTAAAGCTTACAGGTTGTCTTAAATTATGCTTAACGCACAAAAATCTGTTAAAATCACAAAAAGTACTCCAGGGTTTCTTGGACCTTTAATAGTCCTATATAAATAAAACTGACCACCATTAAAAACCTCTTACAAAAACATGGCTAATTATGTATTCAAAGTGTAGTCAATTTATTGAAATTTATCAAATGCAATTGGCTAATCATTTAATTAAATGCAATAGCTTCATAATATGCATGTTTTTTGTTTTGTTTTTCAAATTACTTGTACGTCATCAAAAAAAAAGAAAAAGTAATTATTTTATTTATTTATTTTTTAGGCAGACTGCACTGCCATTTTTTCCACAAGTCATTTCGGTTCCATTACACTTCTGTGGGTATCTACTCATCCTTATGTTGGACCAAACTTTTTAATCTTAGGGAAACAAATTAAGATATTTGTGATGCAATCCACAATCCAGAGGCAACAAACATGCACCAATCAAAGCCCAGAAAAGTGCAAATAACATTGCAAGGCTTGTGCGGTACAGTGATCACTTGATGCTTTAAAAGAGATTAGGCTTCATACGTCAACAGAGCAATGTCTTTCAGCTCTCATGAAAGCACATTCTGAACTGATGTTGAAGAAAATTCTCTTAAACATTATATATACTTTTAAACAAATCCCATTTTCTCATTTACTCTTTGCATTGAGACTTCTTCACTGTGAAAATAGAGTCATCTCCAACACTTCGTATCTTTTCTGGAATGCTACATTTTGGAGTCTACATTGGTTTTCAAACAGCCTTCTGTGCTTTAGCACCCAAAACAACAACATGACCTAATCTAACTGGACACCTCATCTCATCAAATGGTCAATAATTAAATAGAAAATTAATAAACAATACATACATTGACACTGGTCAAAGCCCAAATTCATTAAATGCCTTTTTAAAATCATGTAATGCACCCTATAAACAATCTCCTCAGTGTGAATAGCTCTATAGAGACCTAGAGATACAAACCCATAGAGATTGTTTTGATTCAAGAACCTGGTTGTGGTGTATATTGCTCTGTTTAATCTCACACAGCATAAAAAGGCTTTCACTCCGCTTTTGTATTACATGTGTGATTTAAGTGTGATATGTTTTACAAAGGTTAACAGACAAGGAACAAACAACACAGAATTATTAGCAGGACAGAAATGCATTTCAGTGAAAATCACTGGGTATCATACACATAGACATCGCATTTTTTGACACACCTGTCAACATTAGGATGTGGAAATAAGAGATCCCATTATATTATTATTATTATTATTATTATTATTATTATTATTGTTCACAAATGATAGAATAAATAGTATACAAAAAAAACTGCAAATAAATTAGCGAACAGTTTCGCCTATTAAAATGAATAGCTGTTATAAAGAAATTGAATCAGGTTATCAAATCTCAATAATCTTTTCTGCACTGTATAACTTATAGTCTTATTAAAGAGCAGCGAATGAATCTCTCATTTAGATATTTTGTCTTAATACATTAAATAACAAAGGTGTAACTAAAAATGCAGGTCTAGAATGAAAGCATTCAATTCCTTTCCTAACTGTTTACTCTCATTTAAAACAAAATTAGTTGTTTAAAAGAAAGCTCACCTAAATTAACATGTTTAGTATTCATTCATTTATTTTCTTTTCAGCTTAGTCCCTTTATTAATCATGGGAACATAAGGAGAACATGCAAACCACACACAGAAACGCCAACTGAGCCAGCTGAGGGTTGAACCATCGGCTATTATTATTATTATGTGTCTGTCTGTTCAAACACGAACCCAAAACCCAGAGTGTCCACTTTTGCTCCCCTTCAAATTGCGTTTACAGAATCCGTTTGAGAAACAGCGACTGACAGTCTAATATTAAAGATTGCATACCTGTAGGAGCGGCAATGGCACCTGCAATGGAAAGGAAGGGAATGCCAACGTTTTTATATTTATTTTAAAGTGTTTTAATGCCTAAATAAAATGAAAGCACAGAACAATTTCACAGTTAAGAGCAAGGAGCATCCTCTGGTGGTTCGGCGGTATGGGTTGCGTGTAGGGAGGATCGGCTTTTTCATGTTTATTGCCACCCTTCATTTAAAGATTTAGAAAAATGGGAGAAATAAAGGAAATACCTTGTAAATGTAGGGAGGATCGGCTTTTTAATGTTTATTGCCACCCTCTATTGAAAGATTGAGAAAAATGGGAGAAATAAAGGAAATACCTTTAGAGGATGATAGCAGTATAGAATTGTAAAATACAGAAAAATCTTGAGAAAAACAGGAGGGTTGACGGATGTTTATGGAAATACCACTACAGTATATACTGTATAACTAAAGACTAATTATGCTTATATACTG